ATTCACAACGCAACATAAATTCGTGGACACGTTCAGAACATCCTCAACACCTGAGTGCAAGCTCGAAGCGCTCATCACGTTTCTCCAAACAGAGGCCCTTACCATCGAGTCGCTCAGGGCGAACCTACCGAGCAGATCTGGCTATTCGGACCCCCCAACCCGCTCCGACCGGGACCAGAGTTCCCGTCTACATTTCGGTCGACCCCAACCTCCCAAGCTATACAGTTCCCAGAATCGCCACCGGAACTAAATTCGTCATTCAAGAATCATTGAACACTTTCCACATAACGGCTTCCACAGCGAAAACACCCTTCCGTCCGATACCCCCAGCACCTCGCAGAACGCAAACGGTGCCCTGCATCTTCTGCGAGGCAGATCACCCTCCATTCAGATGTCCAGCCCAACTCACATTACAGGAACGGCTGGAAAGGGTGAAAGCCGCAGGAGCGTGCATGAGATGCCTGAAGCTCAATCATGTAGCAAAGAATTGCCGAGAAGAACCAAAAATCAACTGCAGGTACTGCAACCTCAAGCATTATGCGATACTGTGCAGCAAAGCACCAATCAACGTCAACGTACCCGCAACAAAGAACACCTCGGTGAACATCGCAACCGAAACCGGGAGAGACCCCACCATTCTTTGGACGACACACGTTAAAGCGGAAAGCAAATCCGCCAGCAAAATATGCCGGATCCTGATCGACCCAGGGTCGGAGTCCTCTCTCATCACCGCTGCCATGGCATACGCCCTCCGCTCAGAACCAATAGAACACGTGAACATGGCAATGTCAACAGCAGGAGGTCAGATCACGAACATCCACAACTGTGGGGTTCACGAAATTACACTCCGCAGCAGATTCGACCCAAGAAAATCACTCCGAGTGAAAGCAGTCGAGTTCGGCTGCATATCGAGAACAAAGTTCCCGATAATGAGGGATAATCTAGGCATAGCACCGGCTGCTGATCAAATCGGAAAAGGGGAATCGGAATGGGTAGACATACTGCTCGGAGTCAAGAATCTCGCCAACATCGGCTTCTCAAACCCAAGGTCCCTCAACAACATCTTCGCGTTCGAAACGATATTTGGATTGATCTTCGGGGGCTCCGAGGGAGCAAACAAGTCCGAAACGCATCTCCCAAAATTCTGCGGCTTCATCGCGGCGCAACCAGGGACTTCAATCGCTAAAAGCACCACTTCGCCTCCTCAGACCACTCCCTTGAATGCCACCTCACAGTCCACAAGTCGTGAAAACACAATGGACGACATCGAGTGTCTTTGGAGATCCGAGGATCTGGGACTGGAAGACGAAGTATCGAACGAAGTCAAGGAGGAGGAAGACTTTCTCAACAAAGTCCTCATCGAGCACCTCGAGAAAACAACACGAAGAGACAGCTCAGGGCGATACATACTGAGGCTACCTTTCAGGGAAAACCTCAGAGCATTGGGAGACAATGAAAACCTATCCCGATCCCGACTATACTCGTTCCTAAACAAACTCAAGGCAGACCCAACCAAACTGAAAGCAGTCGATGACGAAATCAGAAATTACATCGACGCTGGGTTTGCCGAGGAGTCACTACCAAAAGCAAGCAAGCAGCTGGCACACTACCTCCCTGTACAGGCCGTATTCAAAGCAAGTCCCGAAGTTCCATCTGGAATCAAAACCAGAGTATTCAAGGACGCGAGCGCCAGGCGATCAAATGAAGCAGGTCTAAACGACGTCCTTCACCAAGGACCAAACCTACTTCCGAACATTTTAAAAGTCCTCTTCAAATTCCGACAATACCGCTACGTTATCACCGCGGATATCGAAAAAGCCTTTCTGCAATTCAGGATAGCGGAGGAAGACAGAACATTCCTCCGATTCCTCTGGCCGTTGGGAATCTCAACCAACGATAAAGCCAAAACGAAGGAATTCTGGGCAACCAGACTCTACTTCGGTCTGGTCTGCTCTCCCTTCTTGCATTGCCAAGGACTACGCCTACACCTCCAACACGCCCAGGCAAAATACCCCGAAGACCACAGCTTCATCCAGGAAATAATCGACAATTTCTACATGGATGACATCCCAGGAGGAAGCGACGACATCCAGGAGGCGAAACACAGGATCCAGCTCCTGTTCGAAATTTTCCAGGAAGCACATATGCCGCTCAAGAAATGGTCCACGAACAACCCAGAGCTAGCGAATTTCATAAGAGATCACTCACCAGTACAGAATCCAGCCATATCGCATAGCCAGAAAAACGCCAAGTTTCTCGGTGTTCCCTGGGACCAAGCAGCGGATGCATTATCCGTGCCGACAACGAAGGCTATCAGCGAACTTCAGTTAGGCGAACCTTCGAAAAGAAAACTCCTCAGGGGACTGGCTCAAATATTCGATCCACTAGGGATTATGGGACCAACCACAATAAATTCCAAAATCCTGCTCCAGAAGCTGTGGAAATCGAAACTAGGATGGGACATACCTTTAGAAGAAGCCCACAAGGCCGAATACGCGGACTTCATACCAAGACTGTCCCAGGGACAAACAACAATAGAAAGATTAATGCTCACCCCCAGCAAGCTCAAACCGCACAGAGAGCTGCACGCTTTCGCGGACGCAAGCCTTTCAGCCTACGGCTGTGTCATTTACCTGCGGGAAACGTTCAGCGACGCACCACCCAGGGTACACTTCGTTAAAGCGAAAGCGAAAGTGAGTCCGGTCAGGCCGATGTCAATCCACAGACTCGAACTACTGGGAGCTCTACTTTCGGACAGGCTAATAAACACCCTCAAGAATCTACTTGACTTCAATATAGATTCGATTCACCTATACTCGGACAACTCCAGTGTGTTAGGATGGGTGGGTTCCTCGCCAGAACGATGGAAACCATTCGTAGCGAACAGGATCCGACGAATTCACACACTCGTCGGCCAAGCTGATTGGAACTACGTGCAGTCAGAACACAATCCAGCCGATCTCGTTTCCCGCGGAGCAGACATTTCTTCAAACCCAAACAGAGATCTCTGGCTCAAGGGACCTTACTGGCTGAAACAACAGGATCAGTTCCCGACTCATCTACCGCCAAACTTGAAAATCGGCGACACATCGACCAAAGAATTCGATGCCGTACGCCGCCAGAATATCGCCTGCATGGTCACATCGAACACCAAACAAGAAGCATCCGAGCCAATATTTTTCGAAAAAAAATTCTCCTCATGGATCAAGGCGATCCGATTCTGGGCCCTGATGCAAAGGCTAGCCAAGAAAGCACAACAAGCGAAAGCTCGGGTAGCCCAGGGCATCACATTTCGACGACATCCACACCCCAACGGGAAACTCGCATTCGAAGCTGAGGAAATGATCGAAGTAAGAATGTCTCTTCTCCGCCTAATTCAAAGAACCTACTTCAAGGAAGAATACGACAATAAATGCGAGAACGTAAAAAAGAAGCAACCAGCTCTATCTATACAACCCATTCCTCGACGAGGACGGACTTATCCATTGCAGGTCTCGACTAACATGGTCAACACACCTCTCCGAGACCCAAAAGAACCCCATCATCCTCCCAGGAAGCTGCTATCTGTCTAAACTCATAGTCCGACACATCCACGAAGGGCAATGTTTCCACTCAGGGGGGATGAACGCAGTACTCCAAATGCTACGTCAAGACTTCCTGCTAATCCATGCAAGGAAAATTGTAAGACAGGTGATCAATTCATGCGCTACCTGCAGACTCTTCCACGGCGAGGCTGCGAGCCTACCAACCCCACCCCTACCATCATTTCGCCTCGAAGAGGCCGCACCGTTCACAAATACAGGCTGCGACTTCGCAGGCCCCTTCAGATACAAGAAAGAATCAGGGGAAGTGGGGAAAAGCTACATACTCTTGTTTACATGCAGCGTCAGCAGGGCAATTCATCTGGAACTAACATACGATCTCTCCACGGTAGAAGTCCTAGGGGCATTGCAAAAATTCATCAACCGCTTTCCCGCAGTGCGTACAGTTACATCAGACAACGGACTGTCCTTCCAGAGAGCGGCCAAAGAGCTCAGAGTTCTATACGAACATATTCGAAGCGACCAAGTCAGGAAATTCTTAGCCGACGCCTTCATCAAATGGAAATTCATAACACCCAGCGCACCGTGATTCGGAGCCTTCTACGAACGTCAAGTCCAAACAATCAAGCGACCATTACGCAAGATCCTGGGGTCAGCTATTCCGCATTTCAGGGATCTGGGAATAATCATTAGCGGTTTCGAAACGGTGGTTAACAGCAGACCAATCACAACCGTCGCCTCTGGGGCGGATGTGATCGAAGCCCTAACCCCCGCCGATCTTCTATTCGGATACAGAGGCGGCACATTCATCCCAGAACACAAAGCGAAACCTCAAAATCGCATTGATCAAGACGAAATAATCTTTTCCACTAGGTGGAAGTATCAGCAACGAATGCTCAGCGCATATTGGAAACGATATCACGACGAGTATCTGCAATATCTGAAAACGGCGCACAAACAAACACCAACATGGGCTGGGCCCTTAGCAGTCGGCGAAATTTGCCTGTTGCAAGGAGAAACATTCAACAGAGCTCTATGGCCACTGCGCCGAGTAATCGGATTTTCGGAAAATACGAACCCCGATTCCGCAGGACACTACTCCACTCGAGGAGTCCGACCATAAACCAGGAAGTCTGAACTCTACCCGAGACGACATAGATTGCCTCTGGCTCTCTGAAGACCTAGGGTTGGAGGATGACCCATCCAAGGAGCAGAAAGAGGAGGAGGACGCTCTCAACAAAGCCCTCATCGATCACTTCGAAAAAACTACCACCCAAGATCCATCGGGAAGGAACATACTCAGACTCCCCTTCCGGGACAACGTCCAAGCTCTAGGAGACGACGAGAACCTGGCCAAGTCCAGGCTATTCTCATTCCTAAAGAAACTCAAGGACGACCTAGTGAAGCTCAAAGCGGTGGACGATGAGATAAAGGCATAGGTACATCGAAGCCGGAAAGATGACTCGCCAGGTGATCAACTCCTGCGCGACTTGCAAGATCTTCCACAGCGAGGCTGCCAACCTACCGACACCTCCGCTACCCTCCTTCCGACTCGAAGAAGCACCCCCGTTCTTCCACACGGGATGCGACTTCATGGGCCCGATCAGGTACAAAAAAGACTCCGGCGACGTCGGGAAAAGCTACATTCTACTCTTGACCTGCGCAGTCAGCCGAGCAACCCACCTCTAACTGACAACAGATCTTTCCACCGTCGAAGTCCTAGGGGCACTGCAGAAATTTATCAATAGATTTCCCGCAGTCCAAACCATCACCTCTGATAACGGTCTCTCCTTTCAAAGAGCCGCGAAAGAGCTGAAACTCATCTACGAACACATCAAGGATGGAGAAATCAAGCGCTGGCTAGCCAATTCATTCATCGAATGGCTTTCAAACAGCAGCAGCCCCATGGTTCGGAGCATTTTTCGAGAGACAGGTCCAAACCGTCAAAAGACCACTCCGAAAAATCCTAGGCTCGGTCGTCCCACACTTCCGTGACCTAGAAATCATTATCTCAGGCATAGAAGCGATGGTGAACAGTAGACCAATCACCGCGGTAGCCTCAGGGGCAGACGAAGTGGAAGCCCTCACCCCAGAGAACCTCTTATTCGGATACAAGGGAAAGACAATAATCCCAGAACACCTCTCGAAACCCAAGAAATCAATGGACTCTGACAAGGCCATTTTCTCGAGGAGATGGAGGTACCAACAACGACTCCTTAACTCATTCTGGAAACGATACCATGAAGAGTACCTCCAATTTCTCAAGGCAGCCCATGAGCAGAAACCAATCTCGGCAAGGCCTCTGAAAATCGGAGACGTATGTCTGCTCCAAGGAGAAAGTTTCAACAGAGCACTCTGGCCTCTATGCAGAGTGATCTCATTCCCCGAGAACATCAAACCAGAAAACGCCAGATCCTGTTTCATCAAAACAGCCAAGGGTCAGACCCTCAACCGTCCCATCAGGAAATTATTCCCTCTGGAAGCCTAAGAAGCACAAATCAAATCAGAACGAAATTCAATTCAAAAAAATGTGAATTTTTTTTATTTACCGTCCCTGGGACAGAGCTCGCCGAGCATCACGAATGTACAGGGATACTTCTTCAAAAAATTCCCTGCCCCCTGGGGGCCGAGATTCATGATCATGCCCAGGACACAGATCTCGCGTCACGACATCGAGGGCGGCCGGCGGGAACCAACGTGTTCCTAGCCACAGTACCACAGGAACCTCCCCCTCCTGGAGGACTACTGATTCACCTAACAAGCGAAGTCGGCGCAACACAAACATGAGCCGCTCGGAGTGCCAGGTCGGCGGCACACAGTATTTAAGCCCCCGGGCCAGACCAAGCTGACCCGGTTGCACCTGCGTGCCGCCTCGCTGAGCACGCCGAGAAGCATTCCGGTAGCGGGACTGTCCCAGGGAGTCAAGTGCTTCCCACACGTGACGGGAGATTTCGTTCGTCAGCCTAGCTGGATAAAGGTTGAGTAGGCAATACTCATACATCAGCTGAGGAAGAAAGAGAACCAACGCTAACTCAAGGAAATCTCAAAACCGACCGAAAACTCAATCAATCCAACATCGGAATCAATCGCAAATCAAAATAGCATACCTCCTCAAGAAGTAGCCCCCTAGGGGACCACCGGAAGCCAAGAACATTTCCGCGAGGCGGGAGGGCAGCCATTCTTCCTAGACAAGGTGTTGAGAAGTGACGGAACGCGCGGAAGCGAGAAAGCTCGGATAGAAAAGACCAACTCTATCGCGCGCTCCCCGTTAGTCAATTCCTCCCCTCTCCATAAAGGGACAATTCAAATTCGAATCAGTGGCGCGTGGCGATTGCTCTCACAGAATTCCCGGCATTTGGTTCCGGAAATTCCGGGCGGGGGACTGTCACGAACGGACTAGGTCCATTGCGCATCCACGACACTCACAACACAATATCTTCCCCAACAGATTAGTTTCTCATAACCAATATCAACTATTTCCTCAGATGGACCTGAGAGACTCATTGGGGGAACTTAGGATCAAGGATCCATATTCATTCATTTCCATATTATTCAGTGTATATTATTATCATATCAGCATCGATTATATCTCCAGGAGAGATAAGAATAAATCCATAGGAAGTCGGGCCACGCATTCAGATAAAAAACACACATTCAGCGCAGCGCGGATCGTTCATGCCAACTTCTCCCGCTCACGGCGCTACAGTCAACAGTCAAGCAACCGGCTGACGGAGAAGTCGATCGTCGATCCTCACACACACGAATACACACACACACACACGAATACACACACAGTCTGTCAGAGATCAAGAGAGCGGTCCACGTACCGCTACTTCTGGAATCCCAGAATCCATTCAACCCGAGGGGTTCAAATCCCCGTGAAGTGAAGTTAGTGGCCAGGCCTGGAATCAGACCCGCTAGCGAACTCAACAATCATCACAAGCATAGTGCGCCCGCTTCCAAACTTTCTTTCGTGATTTCTCTAGCGTCTTCATCGAGTGATTGTTTTAGGACAGTGTGCCACACAGAACCATCTCCCGCACTTGTTCCTCCCTGGGAGGAACTTCATATGGATGATAGCAGCCCGCACAGGGGCTGTAGAAAGCGGGGGTCATGCGACGGTTGATGACCGTGGCTTCAGGGAGCCACAAAACCCGGGGACCTGATTCCGCGGGATGCTGGCGGCCCGGTGGTCAGCATGGGCGACTTGTCGCAGGGCGCACAGCTGACGCTCGGCGTGCCAAGGGGGCAACACGACGCAGAAGAGACGCCGAGCCGGCACCAGGTCGCCCTCGGCGACCGGTTCGCACTCGCCATAGAGAGCCCGGGAAGCTCGCCGGTACTGACTTTGTTCGATTATGACCAAGCTGTCCCAAACTGTTCGGGACACTCGGTCAATGACGGCATACGTGTGAGCTTCTAGCCCTGGGGTATCCTCAGTTAACTAAAAGCAAACGGATCGCATATTCAGTAAACGATAACGCCGGAAAGTCCTCAAGAGGAAGGAAATCAAAGTAAAACTCAAGGAAACCGAATCAAACATCACCTGTCGAGTGAAGTTCCCCCACGGGGACCGCTCAGGAGGGACATGAGATGGCATCGTAGCAGTTTCTTCCGGAAGAATGAAAAGCCAGAGCGCGCGAGACATCGTCGCTGTGAGCTCAATGGGTGGAGCATATTTCAAACTCTACAGCGCGCCAAAACTCATGACTCACAGAATTTCCGAGGGTCTCGAAAATTCGGGGGGGACTGTGACGAACGGACATGGTCCGTTGCGCAAGCTACCCACAACAAAAGTACAGACTACCAGAAAACACACGAGCTCAGGGGAGATTTCGAGGCGACTAGGTTGGGTGACTGAAGAAACCATTATCATCTGTCTTCCCAGGGTGTTAGGTTCTTGGCCTAACCTATCAATTGAAAGAATACGCTGCGGATTCTCGACTAGTCACCAGCGAGTCGTGGACGTACTGACATGACATTTATTGTAGAGTGTCGCATTGGATGGACATAGCATTAGTCGGATATTGAAGCGCGCTATCGCGCTGACTATCTATTAGTTCTCACTATCGATTCCGTTGGGTTCAGACACCTAACACAGGGAACGGAGGTTCCCATATTCTTTATTTGTAATGTGATCCATATATCAATACCGTTATGATTATAGTGGTGATTCAATAAAATACTCAGGGAGACGAGGTGTTGCAAAGAGGGCAACCGGCGGCATCGGTCTCCAGCAGACGCGCTCTCAGCGGCCAGCTGTGGAGTGGGGCGCGCGGGGCTGTAGAAGACAGCTGAGCAGACAATGTGACAGCCGGTGCCCTGGCGGCAGAGTGCGGAACCTGTCAGTAGCAAGAAACGCTCAGCCCACGGCGGTCACGTCCGAACCGTGGCGAGTGTACGATAACCTCTGGGGTTCCATCCCATCAACATATTTCTTGCGAAGTTTGGCTAGGCCGACGTCACTACGTCCGCCCAGCTCCCGTCAATTAGCGCACCCGTCTCCAGGAGAAGTTCAGTGTTTAAAAGGTGTATCCATTGGGCTCCCTGGATCGGTGTGCCACAAAAGATTTCAACAGCCCCCGTTCACGTGATCGTGGTCCCGAATATCCTATGGGCCAGTCTCAATTATAGACATCACAATAAACTGCTGGGATACATGATCGACCGAATCTTTTGAATAGGGTAATCCAATCTCGATGAATTTCACTCTGGAAGCTATCAGACAATTTACCTATATTACCGATGTCAGGTATTAGCCTCAGATGTCACAGATAGATCGAGATGGTCCGATCTTCGAGTTTCGTTGTTTCGGAGTAATGATATACATCGATGTTCTGAAGATGTAGAAATATGAACCTCGAGATAATGTTCTCATGCCAGGAAAGGGCCTTTCCGTCCTAATCGTATAAGCGGTTACGTTCGGACTCATGAGCAGACAATCATGCTTTACGAGAATTACTCTCGCGCCGAGATTTGAGATGTCCACCGTTGATGAACCTTCTGATGATGTTCATCCGTTTCCCACCACGGGATATTCGGCTGTCTTCTTCTCGTCCGAAATCACTCAATTGTTGGGTTCTTCTTGGTTTGACTCTTGCCTCAATTTTCCTCATCTTCACAATCGCTGTCCCCTCCATTGCATTTTCATGGGTTTCAACAGTCGGTGAGTTTTCTGGTTTCCGGTGATTTTTCTTTAGGTTGCCGAGCTTTAGTGACTCTTTCTTTGATTGTCATCCAGAACAGTCCCTGAGTGTCACCAAGCGCATCGCTGATCAACTGAACATCAGTCAGCCGCTTCTCAACTCGTCGCTGTCAGTCTCCACTCCAGCGGAGATCTGGAATCCATGGGAAGGTCTCTATTATGAGGAAGGAACGAGTAGAGACATTTTCCCTCCTCGACAGTTCCGGTGTCTTCCGAAGGTGATCTGGCTGGTCTGTAGTTCTCCGTTGGATCGGAAGTGTATCCTTCGACCGAAGGATCGAACGTCCACGAGACGAAGTATTCCAGTTCGTCAAATGGAGCCGAAGAGCGTGAGGAGGCTCTTCACGATCGTAGGTAATCTTAGTGACTGTGACCTCAGTGACTGGTATCTATCACTTGAATAAACAATGAAGTTTGATTCGAATAGTTTTGTCTGACGTCACTCTGTGGTTTCGCGCGAAGTTTCGCGTGTGGTTTCGCGCGTCTTAGGAAACTTTTTCATTGTGACGTTTTTCTGGGCTATCATAGTTGTTTTAGGTGCATTAGTTTATCTAACATAGTATAATCCAGAGATAGAGAACACTTTTCCCGGAGTGATTTTCGTATAAAAAGGGGG